TGTTCAGTACCCCCCAAGATTCGACTATCCTTCGTTAGCAAACATAACTCATAGTGGTATTTGCAAATGAAGTCTAGAGTTGTTTGAAATGGAGACACAGCGTTGTGGATGTACGGGCCCTCTATTTCGTCTAGATTCCAGACACGATCTTATCTGTAGTTGAGAGGTCAGAATAAGTAGCAGGGTATCGTTTTAGTCAACTTAATGGATACATGAGCGGCTGTATGGCGTGGACAAAAGGAGTTTATTGGGGGTTTTTTATGCCTAGATTGCGCCACAATCCTTTATGTTGTAGCTTGAGCTCTGTGTCGCCAGCACTTACAGCACGCCTCCCACTCTTTTAGCTGAAACTCGAATATGTCACTCTTTAAACTAGCTTCTTTCGTCCCAGAAACATTGCGCCCATTTGATTGCGCAAAAATTCCAATAAGAGTATCAATGTCTCTTCAGTCAAAAGAGTCACCCTGCATGTATACAAGGTATCGGTCAAGTGTCCAAAGTCTATAGTTGCACACACATTCAACGTATTCAATAACCAGTGACCACACTATCACATCTTGATTGCTAGGGTATCCGCATCATTAGTTGACCTACCACCCGTAGACTCGGCTTCTCTGGACATGTTCCCTAAATTCATGTCGGCAGGTGTTGTCGTTTATTGTCCTATTGAGACTATGGCTTTATGAGGAAATTAAGGTCCTCTCTGCCAACAGGCCAAAGATAAATATTTAGTCGTGGAAAGGAGATATGTTTGTCCTTGCTTTCGACTTCGATCCGGACGCAATTTTTCATAGCTATCTCAGGGGGAGTATTCTCAACGCCTGTTGTATCCACTCCGAACCTCTAGCTCTCACTGTAGAGTCTGTAGAGCCGATATTGAATAACAAAGTCGTCCTCACTTCCATGAGGATTTCTGACTACTTGCCCGGTCTATCTCGTATTCTATCTCAACTCTTACCCCTGCCACCATTTACATGAAGCTAACCACCATCGGATCAGTTGGTAGGGTCAGAGCCTTTCTCTTCACCAAACCTTGGTCATGGAGGAAAAGCCATCCGATGAGTTTCCGGAGCGTACCTAGCACCCGATACGAAGATGGTGGATTGGATCAAGATGGCATCTAATGTTACAAAAAAGGGAGATATAGTTGAATATGCGCTCCTCATGTGATACCAGTGTCTAGGCCTCGCCTGGCTGAGGCTGCAGGTTTTTTGGGACTTTTTCCCGCGCACGCAGTTTCCATTGGAAACATTCTAATTTTTCTGGGTAGGAGATTCGGTGGAAAATTTGACTAGATTCTGCGGGTAACTACTTAGGTGAATAACTATCCGTCACGGGTAATCTATCAGGTATATTTTTCCATATCGAATGAGGATAGGAGTTATATTGAGTCATCTTTTATGTACTTTTCTATGATATTGTGTCATAGCTAGACAGCTGCATACACAATTAAGATCTGATGCAGAAAAAAGAGGACAGGAGCACAGTTCACGGTGTGGCCTGGGCCAGAGAGGAGTCCTATGTGCTAGATAGTCCATGACTCAAGTAGTACAAGAATCTACACTCACATACTTTTAACGTGATCCATATTTGTGACCCGATATGGATATAAGTTCAACCTCGCACCCTCAAGCTTCACTCTGTAATTCGCAGACCAAAATGAAACGTAGGTCGGCTGTATCCTCAATGACGCCGGGTTCACAATATTCTAACTGTGCCAAAATTAAATATTCTCCAATATATAAAGCTCGAAATTTTATCGGTAACTCGTCGGTCGAAATAAGATGTTGGCTTATTCTAGTTGAAGCCCCTACTTTTTTTTTTTTGCATCAGATTTTAATTGCGTATGCAGCTATCTAGCTATGGCACAATATCAAAGAAAAGTATAGAATAGATGATTGAACGTAAAGGAAGAGCACTCATGTCTCAGATTTCATTTGCAAGTACCACTGCGAAGTTATGGTGGCTTTTTCTTCACCCCAAGTCAACCCTCATCCGTGAATACCCATCCATGGAAACGTCTCAAAAACTCTCAGCTATCCAGACATGTCTCTATCATCCATTAACTTTTCCCCGCGCGAAATGTGATCTGAGATGTCTCCTTCCCAAGTGGAGTAGGTGCCCAGGCTACTCAAACCATACAAGAGAACACCACCAGGCGGCGAACCACAACACGATCCATCGTTGGCTCGTTTTTATAGTGTCAGCTGCACTCTCGCAAGCGAAGTCTTGGCGCGCACAAAGCTCAATTCGTAAAACTGCTTGCCAAAATTCGGAATTTCATGCCCTTCGAGGTTATATCCTTCCTTTGCATCATCTTGTAAACTTGTCCTGACACCTCTCACGTCCATCCCAAAGAACTGTCTCCTAGATTTGTGCGCCACGCTTTGCTTCCTCCGTCGGGTATAAATATCGGCGTGGGCGTGTATTTGGTGGTCAACTGAGACCAGAGAAGGTCGAAGAGAGGTGTGGTCATTGGGATGAGGATGTACTAGGTCGTACTTGTAGACTTGATAAGACTTAGGTAGGCGTCAAACTCGTTGGGAGCGGAAAAACGACGTGGTGGAGTAATTTTAAATTTTGCCTCGTGGGCCAACTTCTTTGATATTGCGAAATTTGAATGAACTTGGCTCTGGGAGAATATTTCACTCCCAGGTTCGTAGAGGACACCGCGTACAGGTGGTCAATCTTGCACTCCAATTTTTCTTACTAAACAGGCACTGACTTTCTTTTTCCTTTTCTTTTTCTTTTTCTTTTCGTGCTGGTTCATAAAACTAAGCTCCAAGGCCAAGTGCCGGTAAGCTCATTAGATAAAGACTATCTGTGAAAGGCTAAGAATAACTACCGAGGAAGTTGGACAGGGATATGTCTTGGGTCAAAAATATGGACTGACCATACGTACTTGGGCTGTTTGCTTCGTTGAGTACTTGTATTCTGTATTTAGAACCGCAGGTTATTCTAACCCTTTTTTTTTTTTTTTTTATATCATTTAATGTGTATTCAGCTATCTAGCTATGACACATGACCGGTGCTATGTATACACGTTGGATGACTCTTTTGACGTTAGAGACACTCATACTCTGGATTTCATTTGCAAATACCACTATGAGGTATGCTTGCTTACACAAACAGTCGACCCTCCTCCGTTAGTACCCACCAAAGGAAATTTCGAAACCTTTGGTTATCCAAGCATGCCTTCGTCATCCATGCATACCAGCGCCGCGAGAAATGTGATTGTGTTTTGCCGGATTCGAACCAGCGATCTACTGTCTCAAGTGGGATATGTGTCCAAGCTATCCAGACTCTACTTGGTAGACCGGCCAAGACGATGTACCACCGCACCATCCAACCATGGCGGTGTCTAAAGTGTCACCTGCACTCTCACAAGCGAAGTCTTGGCGCGCACAAAGCTCAATTTGTAAAAACTCCTTGCCAAAATTCAAAATTCCACGCCCGTCGAGACTGAATCCATCCTTTGCATCATCTTGTAAACTTGTCCTGATCCCTCTCACGTCCATCCCAAAGAACAGTCTCCCAGATTTGTGCGCCACGCTTTGCTTCCTCCGTCGGGTGTAAATATCGGCGTGGGCGTGTATTTGGTGGTCAACTGAGACCAGAGAAGGTCGAAGAGAGGTGTGGTCATTGGGATGAGGATGTACTAGGTCGTACTTGTAGACTTGATAAGACTTAGGTAGGCGTCAAACTCGTTGGGAGCGGAAAAACGACGTGGTGGAGTAATTTTAAATTTTGCCTCGTGGGCCAACTTCTTCGGTATTGCGAAATTTGACTGAACTTGGCTCTGGGAGAATATTTCACTCCCAGGTTCGTAGAGAGCACCACTGACAGGTGTTCAGTCTTGCCCTCCTATTCTAACCCTTGCGCATGTCAAAATTTAGAGATGAAGAGATCAAGTCAATCATGACCAATGTTTAAATTCCTAGAATTCCGGGAGAAATAGGATTCAAATTTTTTTATAGAGATATCTTTTACTTTAATTACATACACTTCGCCGGTCACAGGTCAGGCTCCCAGTTACTTGACACTATCTGACGTGCCAACGCCCCCAAAAGAGCCTGACAAATTTGAAATAAAGCTCAGTCACTGCTCAGCAACTCAAAAAGTTACAAGAATTTTGAAGGATTGACTGCCTCCACCAACCCTCTAGATGACATCCTCCAAATCTGGAGTCTCCTGTTCCAACCAATTCCAAAGCTTCCACGGCTTCCACGGCTCAGCATCTCTCTCATGTTCACTCGCAGGCTATGATTTTGTCATGGAATATTCATACTCATAAATCCAAGTTGAGCATTCTCCGATAAATCCCCTCGGCAAAAGTGTCGGAAGAAAGGGTTGCGGGTAGTATTGTGGCTTTTCGGCATTAAAGTGGGTCCTAGAAATTGTATAGTGTCTCAATGGGGGTTACGATATGATTATGAGTACCCTGAAGAGTATTGAATTCATCAATTGGCGGAAAGCTTACAAATTGGAGGTATGCTTTAAACCAGAGTATGATGGACATTTATTATTGAAACAAGTAGTTTTTCTTACCTTCCTATCACCACAACTATTAGTGAGGAATTTAAACTTTTTTATCTCTTGCCTTCCAGTTACTTTAGTCAATCATATTGCATCAATCTCTCAAGTTCGTACAAATTTGGTGAAGATGTGGCGTTACGTTTAGGAAAGGCTGGTTCTGTCTTATAAATTTCACCTAGAAGACCTACATCCTACACATACAAAAAGCACTTCCTACTCGATATTGTTTTAACTAAGTCTTGAAGTTGGTTTTACCTGATGCCTTGGGAATGGGGTCACGTTGATGTGAGTGACACCACAACAGGTTTCGAAATCGGCATGTAGTTTCTTGCAATTAGTTGTACAGGGTATCGAGTCGTTTGGACAAATCGTCCTCCGAACGCCGCAACACCTGCAAATGCAATACTTGCGTAGAATAGGCCAGACGTACAGTATTTTTTATACCAAATTTCCACGAGCTAGTTTCAACCTCGAGTGGCACCCCGTCCACTGGCTCTGGCTCTACTAACCGTAGCCCTTCCTCTTGCCAGTCCAACACCTCTGCCTTTTACTCCTCGACTCCTGAACATGGGTGCATTCCTGTAGACAGAAATTAGTTTGTGAACCGTCGATAGTATTCGAAGGAAAGGTAAAATTATGAAGATTATCAAACGCTAGGAGAAGTAAAAGTTTAATGAATTGTACGTACCTTAGCATATCTGGAACAATAAAGAATCGAATATGAGAGCCTCTTATGTAAACCTGGTCAAGATGACTAACACGTCCATCACGAGCTGTTACAGTTATATCTTTAAGTTGTACATTCATGTTGTCTTCCGCTGGAGCAATTTCGTCAGAACTTCACAGTAGTAGCCTGGTTGCTTCCAGATATTGAAGCCAAAAATTACTTACCTTCCAGAAGTTTACCTCGATAGACTTGGCCGTTCGCAATTTCAAGAGTAACAACATGTCCCTATGACGTAGGTCATCAGCTTTAAGTCTATTTTAAGTCGTGGGGTGTAGAGATTGTTCGTGTGCGTCGTTTGTCTGGTGCGGAAATGACAGACCTGAGCCTCATTGAGCAACTTAATTGGAATACCGATTGTGCTTGTCATGTTGATGATCTTCTATTTGCCGTTATAACTAGAATAGTATTCGAGATTTACAAATGTTAATAGTTTGTCTATCTTCGGGCTGGGGACAATTCAAGTGGAGAATATTTGATGGTTTATTCAATGAACCGGATGAGATCGGCGTTTTGGGTTAATATGTATGATGGGTTGATTGCCCAAACGCGTAATATAAACGTCGGAATGAAGTGTACGACGTTCGGTGGGGGAAGGCGGGTCGCGAGAAAAACGTTCTGGGCGTAGCGTCAACTACTATTTAAAAACTAGGCTATGTTTGGATAAAGTCGCTATATTATCCTAGATTAAGCTCGGCTATTCCATACTCTAGTTTTTCAACTCCACGTACCCATGCCATTGACATGCCTATTGGCATTTTGGATAATTTCTATTGTTACGTGATAGACAATTGGCACCCTCTGCACTTCTACGTGAGCTCGGAAACGAGTAAGGCCGGGCTTGATCAGGGCCACTACCATAAATCAAATAAATCTCGTTTCACAGACTTCGCCTTTGTGATTGAGACGTTATTCAAACTGTCCAGAGAACCCGACTTGAACGCGTGAAAGCGCGATTTCCTCCTCATGCATGGCCACCACGAACCCGAGCCACTGATTCTCTCCTAATCTCTGATCTTTCCTTTTCAATTCCAGTCATGCCTCACACTAGCATCTCCTCATCATATCCAAGGATGGTCTTTTTTTTGTATGTGAAGGTGCTAATTCTTTAGCACATATCGCGTTCCCACCGAATCCTAAGAACAAGTGGCCTCAGACAAGTAGATTAATAACTTAAGAGGTACAAAATATGCCTCATTCCGCCTGAATTACTGTAAATATGTTGCTATGGGTGAACATTGAGCTAAATGGCTTTCTATCAAGGGCAACATATCAAATGTCTGTTTTTGTCACTTGAGAAAATAAGAGCACTGTACAAGGCGTGATCTGGATTATAGAGGAGCCCAATGTGCTAGATGGTGATAGACTCATGTAGTTCATCAAACCCTCAAAAAAACTACTTGTTCAATCATGAAGAAACCAGTAGCAATCAATAAAACAATAAAAAAAGATTCTACAGAATCCCCCACTGGCTAAAGCCCTATAAATTAGGGGAGAAAATGACAAAAGTCCTTCCTGTGATCTATTTCGGTCGCTATATACTAGAGTAGCTATTTATTCGTGGTATTGTTTCTCCCACCAATATCAGTGACAACGAATAGCAACAGTTGAACAACTTTCCACCGTGTTCTCTACAAAACTAGGAGTGAGATATCCTCCATGAGTCAAGTTCAGCCAAGTTTTGCAACGTCGGAGAAGTTCACCCTCCGCGCAATAATTAAATACTCTGTACCAATCAGATTTCTATTCCAAAAAAAAATTAATTCTGACCATAGCATTACCAAGTCCTCAAACCTTACCTAGTCAAATTAGTCTCTGGTCTCGTCATAAATGCCTACAAGGATATGAATACCCGATGGAAGAGGCAAGTGTTATAATCTGAATCACGTGTTCATAGCCTTGGTATTTGCGTAATGGGTCTGTTTGACAAAAGCACGTACATAACACTTTTCACTACACATTAGTTAGACAGTGTGTGTGTGTGTGTTTTATTGTACTACTTGAGTCTATGACTATCTAGCACATTGGGCTCCTCTCTGACCCAGGCCACACCTTGTACAGTGCTCCTATCCTCTTTTGTTACTTAAAGATCATTGATATATTCCCCTTGATGAATAGCCATTCAGCTCAGTATTTACCCGTGGAATTCAGCCACCTTTTCCACGGAACCTTCTACCCAAAAAAAATAAAAATGGTAGCAATGGAAACTGCGTGCGCGGGAAAAAGTCTCAAAAAACCTGCAGCCCCAGCCAGGCGAGGCCTAGACACCGGGACCACATGAGGTGCGCATATTCATCTATATCTCCCTTCTTTGTAACAGTCGAGGTCGACTTGATCCAATCCACCATCTCCGTATCGGGTGCTGGGTACGCTCCGGAAACTCATCGGATGGCTTTTCCTCCATGATCAAGGGTGGGTGACGAGTAGGGCTCCGACCCTACCATCTGATCTGATCGTGGTTAGCTTCATGATAGTGGTGATAGGGGAATGTGTTGAGAGATGAAGACGATACAGACGGCGAAAGCGATTGGGAATCCTCGTCGAAGTGAGGACTTTGTTACTCAATCTCGGCTCTGCAGACTCTACAGTGAGAGCTGGAGGTTCGTAGGGGACACCACTGACAGGTGTTGAGAATAGTCCCCCTTAGTTAGACAGTATCATATACGAGCTACATCATTTATCAACAATAATATCTTCTCTACATATCTCTGTCACACAGTGTACACTTTCACAACAGCAAGGCGTGGTGCACAAATCTAGGACTCAGATTTTTGATAAGGGCACTAGAGAGATCCAGGTGAGCGGTCAAGATGATACTGAAGGTGGATAAAACCGTCGAAAGGGTTGAGGTTTTGATTTTTCTGATTTTTTGCAAGGAAATTTACAAATTGAGTTTTGTGCGCGCCAGTACTTCGATTTCGATAGGACAGGCGGCACTATAAACATAGCCGTGACTGGATGATGCGGTGGTACATCGTCTCAGCCGGTCTGCCAAGTTAGGTCTAGATAGCTTGGATACATATCCCACAAGACAGTAGATCGCTGGTTCAAATCCGGCAAAACAACCACTTTTCTCAAGGTGCAGGTGTACACAGACGACAAAGGCATGCATGAATAATCAAAGGTTTTTGAATTTCCCCTTGTTCAGTACCCCCCAAGATTCGACTATCCTTCGTTAGCAAACATAACTCATAGTGGTATTTGCAAATGAAGTCTAGAGTTGTTTGAAATGGAGACACAGCGTTGTGGATGTACGGGCCCTCTATTTCGTCTAGATTCCAGACACGATCTTATCTGTAGTTGAGAGGTCAGAATAAGTAGCAGGGTATCGTTTTAGTCAACTTAATGGATACATGAGCGGCTGTATGGCGTGGACAAAAGGAGTTTATTGGGGGTTTTTTATGCCTAGATTGCGCCACAATCCTTTATGTTGTAGCTTGAGCTCTGTGTCGCCAGCACTTACAGCACGCCTCCCACTCTTTTAGCTGAAACTCGAATATGTCACTCTTTAAACTAGCTTCTTTCGTCCCAGAAACATTGCGCCCATTTGATTGCGCAAAAATTCCAATAAGAGTATCAATGTCTCTTCAGTCAAAAGAGTCACCCTGCATGTATACAAGGTATCGGTCAAGTGTCCAAAGTCTATAGTTGCACACACATTCAACGTATTCAATAACCAGTGACCACACTATCACATCTTGATTGCTAGGGTATCCGCATCATTAGTTGACCTACCACCCGTAGACTCGGCTTCTCTGGACATGTTCCCTAAATTCATGTCGGCAGGTGTTGTCGTTTATTGTCCTATTGAGACTATGGCTTTATGAGGAAATTAAGGTCCTCTCTGCCAACAGGCCAAAGATAAATATTTAGTCGTGGAAAGGAGATATGTTTGTCCTTGCTTTCGACTTCGATCCGGACGCAATTTTTCATAGCTATCTCAGGGGGAGTATTCTCAACGCCTGTTGTATCCACTCCGAACCTCTAGCTCTCACTGTAGAGTCTGTAGAGCCGATATTGAATAACAAAGTCGTCCTCACTTCCATGAGGATTTCTGACTACTTGCCCGGTCTATCTCGTATTCTATCTCAACTCTTACCCCTGCCACCATTTACATGAAGCTAACCACCATCGGATCAGTTGGTAGGGTCAGAGCCTTTCTCTTCACCAAACCTTGGTCATGGAGGAAAAGCCATCCGATGAGTTTCCGGAGCGTACCTAGCACCCGATACGAAGATGGTGGATTGGATCAAGATGGCATCTAATGTTACAAAAAAGGGAGATATAGTTGAATATGCGCTCCTCATGTGATACCAGTGTCTAGGCCTCGCCTGGCTGAGGCTGCAGGTTTTTTGGGACTTTTTCCCGCGCACGCAGTTTCCATTGGAAACATTCTAATTTTTCTGGGTAGGAGATTCGGTGGAAAATTTGACTAGATTCTGCGGGTAACTACTTAGGTGAATAACTATCCGTCACGGGTAATCTATCAGGTATATTTTTCCATATCGAATGAGGATAGGAGTTATATTGAGTCATCTTTTATGTACTTTTCTATGATATTGTGTCATAGCTAGACAGCTGCATACACAATTAAGATCTGATGCAGAAAAAAGAGGACAGGAGCACAGTTCACGGTGTGGCCTGGGCCAGAGAGGAGTCCTATGTGCTAGATAGTCCATGACTCAAGTAGTACAAGAATCTACACTCACATACTTTTAACGTGATCCATATTTGTGACCCGATATGGATATAAGTTCAACCTCGCACCCTCAAGCTTCACTCTGTAATTCGCAGACCAAAATGAAACGTAGGTCGGCTGTATCCTCAATGACGCCGGGTTCACAATATTCTAACTGTGCCAAAATTAAATATTCTCCAATATATAAAGCTCGAAATTTTATCGGTAACTCGTCGGTCGAAATAAGATGTTGGCTTATTCTAGTTGAAGCCCCTACTTTTTTTTTTTTGCATCAGATTTTAATTGCGTATGCAGCTATCTAGCTATGGCACAATATCAAAGAAAAGTATAGAATAGATGATTGAACGTAAAGGAAGAGCACTCATGTCTCAGATTTCATTTGCAAGTACCACTGCGAAGTTATGGTGGCTTTTTCTTCACCCCAAGTCAACCCTCATCCGTGAATACCCATCCATGGAAACGTCTCAAAAACTCTCAGCTATCCAGACATGTCTCTATCATCCATTAACTTTTCCCCGCGCGAAATGTGATCTGAGATGTCTCCTTCCCAAGTGGAGTAGGTGCCCAGGCTACTCAAACCATACAAGAGAACACCACCAGGCGGCGAACCACAACACGATCCATCGTTGGCTCGTTTTTATAGTGTCAGCTGCACTCTCGCAAGCGAAGTCTTGGCGCGCACAAAGCTCAATTCGTAAAACTGCTTGCCAAAATTCGGAATTTCATGCCCTTCGAGGTTATATCCTTCCTTTGCATCATCTTGTAAACTTGTCCTGACACCTCTCACGTCCATCCCAAAGAACTGTCTCCTAGATTTGTGCGCCACGCTTTGCTTCCTCCGTCGGGTATAAATATCGGCGTGGGCGTGTATTTGGTGGTCAACTGAGACCAGAGAAGGTCGAAGAGAGGTGTGGTCATTGGGATGAGGATGTACTAGGTCGTACTTGTAGACTTGATGAGACTTAGGTAGGCGTCAGACTCGTTGGGAGCGGAAAAACGACGTGGTGGAGTAATTTCAAATTTTGCCTCGTGGGCCAACTTCTTTGATATTGCGAAATTTGACTGAACTTGGCTCTGGGAGAATATTTCACTCCCAGGTTCGTAGAGGACACCCATACAGGTGTTCAGTCTTGTCCTCCTGAAGCCCCTACTTACAGAGATTTAAACAGCAACAAATTTATCTAATGTCGACCTAAGCCTTCAGCCAAGGAAATCTCAAGTTTCGCTAATAGCTATGGCCACTTTTATATTTTCTCGATGGTCACTCCTCTATCACCATCAAATAAAGACACAGTGAGAACACGACTCCCATTATTTTTACGATCCCACACCCCCAAAAGACGTGTCGATCAAAGCAAATAGGCCACCTACTCTTGGGGATGAACTGTAGTACTTGAGGGATGCACCTATAAAACCTTCCTTTTGCGACTGAAGATAGATGTCAAATGATTTATTCCAGCTAGTGGTACAAGGTAGTATGTTACAATGGCGTTTAAGATGTAGTGATAAATGAGAGGGAAGATATTACCCACAGGGAGGGAAGTTTATGCCGATCATTCCGAGCCTTTTATCATTTCCAAGGTGCTGAGTAGTGAGTGGGCCTGCTTTATGTTTTTGGCTATCTCAGAGTTTACTGGCACAATTTAAGATTGAGATTAACGAATTCACGCTTATAAGCATAGAAAATAAAAATCATGAACTGATAACAGTCCATCACGCGGAAGTACAGAAAATAACCGTGGTTAAACCTAGTAACTCTATTCTAGCTGACATCTGTAACTTACTCTCCTACCCTTTTAAAATCGATAGATTTATTCAACCAATTACTAAAAGATTTATTCAACTGGTAAATGTTGTTTAGTTTTCATATTGCAAAATTTTATAGATAATTAAAAACAGTATATCGTATAGGATAGGGTTGCGTGAATTGCCGAATTTTCTATCACGACCTAATAAATAGCTCAACTCGAGACGCCATAAATAAATTTGCTACAAGCTCAATTTAAAACTTTTTCCCTGGATATTTGATGACGACATATAAATTGAACATATTATCAGCTCTAAGCCAACTGAAGCAATTAAATTTTAGACAAATGTCTATAAATAAAATTGTCGAGAAACTCAGTTATTTCAGTCGATAAATTCAACATAATCTTTTAGTTCGTCAATCAAGTCTGAATCAAATTCTTTAACCCACGTTGGAACTGGATGGCTGCCAGTGCTATCTCCCTGGGGTTTTAAAAGGTCTGTATTGATTAATTGACAATACTTTTTAGCGGGTATAGTAGGACTAAGGGAACTTGGACGTTTTTTATTGATTTTTTCAGTTTGTTCAGGAGATGATCTAATCATAGAATAACTCATAGACATTGTATTCTCTTGGATACTATTTTTCTCCCTAAAATTATCAGACTTAAGTGTGTTACTAATATAATCCTGGTGAAGACTTGATTCTGAAGTAAATGTCTCTGGCCTATAACCAAGATTCGTATTTAGATTACTTGATGATGAAGTGCAGAAAAGGCTATCTTCTCCACCTATAACTGGGCCACAATGGCTTTTTTTTTCAAGATCTATTGCTTTCAAAGTAGGTGATGATAGGATTCCAGCTTCTATATTTCCTAATTGGTATTCTTCATTGAAATCAAGTACTTTGGGTGTCATAATCGATCCTAAAGTACTTATAGGAGAAAATTTAGCGTTTTGTTGTTCTGGTATCTCTATGACAGCTAAATTATTTTCATTATTATCGTTTTCATTTTCATTGTAAACTTCATAGCCGAAGGGGGGTGTGCTTTTTATTGAGGGTTTCGGAGATTCAATAGATAAGTCAATAATCTCAACTGGATTAACGTTTGCTATACCATTTTGACATGGCTTCAGCTTTGTTTCTAAAAATCTAGTATCTATTTTAGCTGACTGAAGAACTTAGTTAGCATTGTTTCTAATCACACAAGAAAATTGACCTTTTTTGTTCGCTTTTTAACATCTAGACTCTTACCCTTTTTGCTTTAGTTAGCAGTTAGCCCAAAATTTAAATGAAAAGTTCAAACCTCTATGTTAGCTACAGCCGTTTTGCTCAATGAGTTCTAGACATTTCGTTAACCAACTTTTGATATGATTAAAAAACACATGACCAACCATTCGTTTTAGTCTAGAAGGTTTATCTGTTCCTTCATGACAGCACTTATGCTTGCACAATTTTCCATCCTTTCTAACTCCACGATCACGACAATCATGCTGACAAGTCCATCTCCCGTTATACATACGAGTAGATTCAATTATAGGTTTCATTCTATTAATCGTGCTGGATTTCGTTAGAAGGGGAGAGCTTTTATTTTTCAACTCCAAATTATCAATGTCCATAAATTCATCTGAATTATAATGGTTGTTATCAGAATTTTCAACCCCATTGATAATGGCTAGCATATCTTCGTCGCCAAGATCATCATCGTCGAATTCATCTTGATCAAATTCCGAAATTTTCGATTTCTCAATGTTTGATCCATTTCGACCTGACGGTTTTAAGAAGTTCGGACCCAACATATCATATGAAATAACTGTGGATCGTAATGTACCAACAATTTCTTCGCACGCTACCCAGCACTTTATTTCCTTCCATGTAGATAGATCAACCGTAAATCTTATATCAAATCCTTTACCTAACTTAAGAATACAGCCGCGCCAGAAGTGTACTATTTTACCGTCAGAGGTTTCTGCCATGAAAACCACATTTGGCTTTCTGTTTAGCCAAATCGGAGGTTCTTTGTTCTCATAGCTAATTGAAGCCCTGACGTAAATAAGGGTTTTCTTTACTTCGATGTGGTAATTTTTATTAATTATCTCAACAAAAATTTTTAGGCGAGGGAAGCTTGCGAGGGTATCTTTCATCTTTATCCCAAATGGAGGATTTTTGCTTACGATTCTTTCGATGGAAGCGGCGTCTTGTTGTGCGAGTTCATATACGGTATTAATATTAGCTTCGGTTAGTTTGCGATGTGCCACTGGTCCAATCTGAGGGACTTGTCGTAATTGTAAATTCGAATTTTCCCAATTTTCAGCACACAGACTTCGAAACAGTTCGAGTGCATGTCGAGCGGAAACTGAATCAAGATCGAATGCCTTACAATCAATTACACATCGAATCAGCCGTTGAGCTCTTTCAAATATGATATTCTTATCAGTTGAAAACTGTCGACGTACAGGACCAAATTCTTTCTCGTCAGGATACGGAATTCCTCCAAGATGGACTTGTATGATTATTGATACCTTCTGGGCTATAGTAGAAATCGGTTCGCTGACTGGAAATTTTATCAATGGAGATTTATTCAGTTGTCTCAAGCAAGACCTCTCTGCAGGCTTTATACGGAGATCTTTGAACTCAACTGCTCGACATAAGGTTGATAACTGTTTTTGTTACACGAAGATTATTTTATTGAAAAATGACTTACAATTTGTTCCTTATTGGCTTGTTTAGGTATGGAAACAAGTAGCTTCATCGTTTCAAATTGAACCATGTATCTACACATAGCCTCTCCGTATTCCGTACAGGTCAGTCGCTCTTCCCCGCGAACTAGGAGATACTCCTTGAGTAGATTGATATCTCTTTCACAAACCTTTTCAAGTCTTTCATCCGTATCACATCTATCTGTCACGCCCGATATTTGGTAAAACATTGGATTTTGACGCATGCGAACACTCAAAAAAGTTCTTGTTATCCAAATCTTTGCTTGACTAAGGTCCTTCACTGAACCTAGACTGATCTCCGAATTTAAGTGCTCAATTAGATTTAGGTGAAGTGTGCTTTCTAGTATATCTTGGCCAGCAATCATTTTTTTGTAACGTTCAGACTTTCCAGTTCGTGTGATAATAATGGCGATAGCACTATCATCGAACTGGGGTCTTCCAGCTCTTCCTAGCATCTGCATAACTTCTAAATCTGAATATTCGCGTAGAACACCATCTTGAAATCCAACTGTTCCTTTCAGTATCACCATGTGACACGGAAGATTAACACCAACGGCTAATGTTGAAGTGCAGCATATTACGCTAATATCACCTTTGAGATATCCAGTTTCAATAGCATAGCGGTCCTGTGCATCGAGACCAGCATGATGGAATGCAACGCCGCAAGAAACTACACTCTGAAGCTCTTTACATCCAATACAAACTTTTTGCCGGGGTGCTAGCCAAGGACGATCTGAAATCCGCTGCCTAGCCCACCATTCTGATAAAATAGAAGCAGTGCCTTCACAAGACTTTCTTGTGAAGCAGAAAACCATTATGGGTTTTTTCTGCGTGTATTTCTGTAGTAGAGAGGTAAGCTTTCCGTCCAAGAACTTATCAAAGGCATAATCATTAAATGTACCATCAAATGCATGCACATGCTTTTGAAGTTTTACTGGCCGAAATTCTTCCCCAAACGTCTCTCGATGGGCAGGAAGATGTTGATTGGTATGATCTCGTCCAAGCCAGACAGCTATGTCCTCAGAATTTGGTACAGTCGCACTCAGGGCCACAAATCTCACATTCGCTCCCATTATTTTCATGCGAGACACGACAGCTTCTAGAGTGGCCCCTCTAACATCTTTTAAAATATGAACTTCATCAATGAGAAATAATTTGACCATTTGAACTAGTTTGTGGTGATCACTCCATTTACGGGTTATACTGTCCCATTTTTCAGGCGTTGTAACGATTATTGATGCATTCCGGACTCGTATCATGTCGGACTGGCTGGTATCACTGGTGAGTTCAGCGCATGGAAGATTCAAATGATTAAACTTTTTTTGCCAGTCTCTAAGGCGCTCAGAGCAAAGTGATTTTGTAGGAGCCTGATAAATAATTTTAAACTGCCCCGAGGGATATTTTTCAACTAACTTGCAAATTGCTAGCTCAAGTAGTACAGTCTTGCCACTACCAGTCGGAGCCGAAACTATTATATTGTCGTTTGTGTCAAATATTGGCCCGAAACATTTTGATTGAATGGCATTGAAGAGCTTGAAAGGAAATACATGCCGAAGTTTATCAGGCAAGTTTTGTGGGGAGAGCAACTGAATACCTTGAGATATAGATGGTGCATGTTGAAGAGAGAGGGTTTTTGGGTTGAGGTTTGATCTGATGGACGTGCTCTTCGTGGGGGAGTAATTCAGCTGACGAATTTCATTTTGAATTCCTGTTTCTGTATTAAGAAATCGGTTGTGTGCTGCTAAACGAGCATTTTCTCGTCGGAAACTAACCCTGTTGGATGGACTTGAGCATATTTCATTCAGGGGTGAGTTGTTGGAGCCTATCTGCGAAACTGGACTATTCAAGTTATAACCTGAGAAAATTCAGCATAAGGAAGAAGCTATCAGATTGTAGAGATTAACTCATATTGGGAGAAGTAGGGATTTCTTTTGGCCGAGTCTGCAATTCAAAAGCTTCGTTTTTATTTAAGTTGAGCAGATCATGAATTTCCACGTTGGATTGATAATTTCCTGGTTGAAGTTGGGGTGATTGTTCATGTGATAAAGAAGTGGGATAATGAAGAAAGTTTGGTACAGGAAATTTTTCGTAAGATAATATGTCCTGATGTAAGTTTTGATCGGCCCGTAAATGATTGGTATTGAAAGAATAATCCGTGTCTTCGTTATAAAGATTTCGAGGTTTAAATGAAAGCCTTTGAGACCTCGTGCTTTCTGGTGGTAAAGTTTGCGGTGGAGAGATAAAGTGACTACTTTCTAAACATACACTGATATTTAGAATTTCATTAAATGGCTGACGAGCTACACCTACCTCGATCATTTTGATTGACTGAGTTCTGTGTCCAAAGACGGGGCCGCGGACCAAAGCTCCAGGGCAAAGAGGAGGTTTCTATCGGGGATTTACGAAGATCTAATTGTATATCATTGTTTTGGGCGTCTGTGGCATTGCGAATAATACGTTTCATGTGAGGATCTAACTTGTAGTCCATGGTTGATAGAGACAACTTCAGATACAAATAAAAATTGGAATTTAATGACTGGAGTTTTTAGTAAGGTAATAGTGGAAATGCTCTTTTTTCTAGTTCTTCTATTTGCGACAGATTTGATATGTTTCCACATGATAATAAAATATCAGGCAACCAATATACAGTTTGCGAACCGTTGAGCATACCTTGTTATTTCCAAAAAAGGAAAGTCCAATCAAGCTGCCTATTGGTCCTTATTGTGTTCCCAGATTTTAACTAGTTGAGGCAGACTTAAACGAAGTCGAGCGTATCTTTTGCAAAAATCTATTCTTTAAAATCTACCGGGTTTGACAAGTTTGATTTCGCAAAATGAAACATTGAAGTTAATCATAATAAAAATTCTAGGTTAGGACCTAAAGAGGAAAGATTTAATTGTTCTCAGAGCTTCACAGGTAACGGTGAGGCTATAAGTAGCGTTTCCCATAAAAATTCTAATTAGAAATATAGGCATGTAGAGCATTTGCTGCGGAAGAAGAGCGCTAGGATCTTCTCATCTGACGCATAAAATCTGCTACCTCAGTTGTTATAAAATTGAGTGGAAAATCAAATTTAGTAAAGTTGATGACTGGGTGGAGATTCTTTCAGGTTTATAATGACACATGGAGCAAGTTTTTCTGCCCAACACCAGGCAAATTATGACTTTCAGAACTCCAAAGCCATGTTTTTGCTTGACTATTATTGTTGAGTTATTTTGGTTGGCCTTATCTTATGTTCTTGGCTACTACAAGATAGCCCGGCTTCAATTCTTGGATCATGAGACAATTATCATAAACTACACAGTCGAAATGTATTTGTGGGTTTTTCACATGGAACGTTTTCCAGTCGAGTTTCCACCGCGAGAATGATGTCTCATAGGGCTATTTGGCCTACTTGAGCTCAATCCTTCAGGTTTGAGATCATCTAGAATATCGGGACACAAACCTGTCTTTTTGACGTCTTCCTGAAATCTTGCAGAAATATTTTCATCGATGGTTGTCTTTTCGTAACTAACAATATTGATAGGTGGCGATCTAGGTGTGTTTCGATCCGGACTGCTATACAAGTAAGTTGCATATATAACTAGTGAAGTGCCTAATAAGAACTGATAATGCATTACATTAGTTCACTGAAAGCCATTTAATAGTAGAAAGTCTTGAGCCTTACGTTTAAATTAATTTGAAAGTCGAAAAACCATACACTAATAAGAAAACTTAGAATAATACTTATGGAGGTCGCAAAGTTTTTAGCGATATTGTCAGCGTAATTGATGCACATTGCAACTAAGACCCCACCAACAGCCTGGAAAACAATTGCTGTCCAAACTACTGGATTATACCCATTGAAGAACCCGTACTTTACAATGGCCTCTCCATCCATAATGAATACCCCAAGGATAAGCGCTGGAAATAGAGAATAAAACGATAATTGAACGTTGCGGGTCCAGACTGTGACATGAGCAGTTGATTCTTTCAAGGCTTTCTCAAAGTAAACTCCTGTCAACCCTGAAATTATTGCAGCAACTGTAGCAGCAGTAACTCCGACAGTATAGTTCATCAGAGGTTTGACGAGACCGAGATCCTCCTGTATGCCTTCGTAGGTCGCAGAACGCTTGTAAATATTTCTTGTGACTTCCCCAACACTTCTTCTAGTCAGTTCTCTTGCGATCTCAACGGCACCCTCGCTTAGATGTCCCAGCTCGTGAAAGCTTCTAGGAAAATAGAATTTTCGCTGCGATTCGTCTAGAGACTGTTCTATACCCGGATTAGTCGGGCGTAACTGAACAATACCCACTCCGCAGGTCAAAATTATTAAAGCGATCCATTTCCTGCTTGAAAGTACTTTGCCGAGCATGGTGACGCTAAACAACGCTGTGGTAAGAATTTTTAATTGGTAGAGAATTTGAAAGTGTACAGCATCTAGATTACTAACTGCAATATACTGCAATGAGTTTTGAAGAGTATAGAGTGTAGCTGGGATAGCTAGTTTCCAGCTATCCCAACCGAATACTGAGAGATAAAGTTGCTTGAAAAGAGTTGTAGCCGGAGTACAAGGAGGAAGAGTGCGAGATATTTCGTGAAGAGCTATAGTAAGAGAGAATGCAAGCTTTATTATTTCATTCAGGAATACAGCTGTGGAAGTAAAGTATCGGTTGCTATTTTCTACGGGCATTATCCTCGAATAGTGCATGATCTAGTTGAAGTCAGTCGCGTTGTGAGGGCTGTCTAATATATTGCCAATCACAGACCAGTATAAGTGCAGAATTTTGAAAAGTGAGCTGGTAAACGATTAGCAATGCTGTTCTAGACTATGGACTTTCAATTGACTTTACAGTTATGAGAGAAATATGCTTCATAGAGAAGCCCATTGTGGTAGTCGGCTTGCTGGACATTATCCCTATCCGAGATAGAAATGTGAAGGAAAGGCCGGTGTGTTTACAGCAGGATTGTATTTTCCATATGAGCTTGATGCGAGAGCAGCGGGTTGAAGGGATTGGCCAGGTACCAGGCCAGGATGCATCGTATTGCCCTGAAATGCGGAGGTGCAGAACTTTTGCTCGCTGCCTCTCCCCCTGCTGGTGCGAACGATTCAATGCCGCTCAGTTTAACTTCATCGGGTAAGCTTAGATTGGGATAATATCCTGGAGTGGCTATCTCTAAGCGCGAGCCGAAGACAACCCGGGGACAATATTTGGCCGATGAGCAATCTGCATGGTTTATTAAATCTGATCCCCACAGTTGATCTTTTGATTTGTCTACAGTAGTTAAATCTCATTACCTCACAAGGCTATTGATTTGTTATCCAAAACAGTAATGTTACCCTCAGGGTACATGATAACAAGTAGCTGAGCATTTGCATTCATTTTCAACCACATGATATACATCGTATCTGCATATCCCCATCACGACCGGTGCCTTTCGCGAAGGAAAGATAGGTAACAATATCTCCCAACTAAAATCCAATATCTTAATTAGTTTCTTTGTTCTTTGTTCTCCCATCAACTGCTTCCGTACCCTCTAGTGATTAGTTGACAGCTTCTCTTCATGGAACAGCCTTCAGATTCGCAACTTATTCTGAATCTGCGCCCATATAGCTATAGGTTCGGTAGGGGGTACCACAGAAAAGGGAGCTGAAATATACAGGTAAGTACTGAGCTGAATGGCTATCAATCACGTGCATTATACAAGAGATATCTTTTCGTAATAATGGAGGAAAGGAGGATTGTACAAAGTTTGGCCTAGGTTAGAGAGGAGCCCAGTGTGCTGGATAGTCGTTGACTCATGTAGTACAATAAAAAACAATCTATTAAGCTAGTGGCAGGTTACATTTTAGGATGGTTTTTACATCCACATAATACTGGAAAGAGCCGTCCATTCATTTTCACCAAGTAAAGCTCTAAGTTTCTTGACATGAGGCTGTACCTGGAACTTGAATTCTTATTTTGTCAATTTAATAATCGAAGGGTCAAAGTGCTATCTTCCCCTTCGAATGAGCAATAGGCTCCCACGTTTGGGTGTTGGAGTGTAAGATGGTTTTAAGATGGTTTTAAGATGGTTTTAGGATGGTTCCTGTAGCCAATGGAATTTCCGAATTAAAATTTCTCAAACTTCAATTCGAATCCTAAGCTTTGATATCTTGATGGCTGCTCAGCAAGCCGCCAAATGTGATCCTTATAGAATGATCATGTTAGCGCACATATTACCTTCTATATGTAGGCATTCAGATCTCTTAACTACATTTAAGATAGGTGACTAGGATACAAGCGACAAATTATGAAAATAATAAAATACAACTTCGGAAATCTCTGCCAAGCTGAGTGTAGTATTAGTCCTAAGTCGGAGCCATATTCAATTTGATATGCCTATTCGAGAATAAGATCTACTGATCAACCGCACTTTGACTAAACGCTTTTTTTCAGTGTTCATCTAATTTCTTACTTCATGCGTGCGTCATTTATTCTCAATCTACGACTAATTACGACAATCAGGTCCGTTCGGCATACAGGCCAAAGATAAATAATTAATTAATTAAGCCCAAAGCAGTATCGATATCAGCTAAGTAACGAGAATATCGGGCTCAATTTATACCTGTACAGAAGAAAAGTACCCGGAGCCGGCAAATACAAATTCTTCACCTTCCAGTGGTGCCGGTGTAATCGCTCAGTATGCTCTGCATATCTGGAATAGCCAAGAAGAATCGCATCCGAATCGAAGTCGAAAGCAAACACATGTATATCTCCATTTGACGACTTCTCAACCATGCAGCACTCATCATTATCTTCTGAGTCCTCAACCCCGATCTAACCACATATCAACTCGCCTCGCCGACCGATAAAGGCGTCACCCCAATTACAAACAGGAGCTTGCCTCGTTCATTACCGGCCATCACTCTCTACATATTTACGACGCTATTTATACCCGCAAGGAGGAAATCAAGTCGAAAAATACAAAGTTGGGGTCTTGGTTTAGGGGGGACTGCTGCTCTAATGGGGTTATACATCTTGAGGAAGAACAAGCGGCTGAGATGTGGAGCGAGAAGGGAAAGAGGTCCCTGAAGACCATGCTGGGACTGACTTTTTCGAGGAGTTTTCAACTTTCGATTTTTTGTGGGCGCCAAGACCAAGATTTCGGCTAATTAGCCAGGAGGGCTTCTTTTGTCGACGAGTCAACGGCACTCCCCAGCGCCCTGGACGGTACAAAAGAAGTTAGGCTAAGCTACTATACAGCAATCACGCTCTGTCAAGACTTTTCTGACATTTCGGCACGACCTTCGAGAAGGAGTTGGAAGGAGGCTAGAAAGGCAGAGGGTGGATTTCCCAAGGTACCCACAAGTCTGCAGCGCCCAGCTGGCCGGCCTCTTCGAACGCTTCAGAAGGGGCAATATGTCTTCGGATTTATTCCTAATTTCGGTATTAGAAGAGCCCCGCACCCAGTGGTTTTTGCGAATTTTCCCGGCTGCCATACACCCGCAAATGGCCATCGTTTCGTTGGCTGGAGAGGGGAGATAATGAAGGGCTAAGGGCTCCTCTTAGTGTATGATCGAATGAGGACTTGTGAGGGGTGGTACTGTTTGAGGGGAGCTGTATGGGAGGCATAGGAGGGGATATACTACTGGTATAGGTATCCTTGGCCTGTAGGCAGAGAGGACCTGCATGCCCTACATAGTCATAGACTCAGACAGGACAATAAAATGAATTAATAATAATAATAATAATAATAATAATAATAATAATAATAATAATAATAATAATAATAATAATAATAATAATAATAATAATAATAATAATAATAATAATAATAATAATAATAATAAACACCTTAACAGGGCCCAGAGCAGCATAGCTATACAGATAAGAAGCGAACACATTGGGTTCAATTCCTATCTGCACAGAAGAAAAGTTCCGGGAGTAGACAGTTCACGATGCCAATGTGGATATCCGTCCCAAAATGTGAAGCATATGGTCATGGCCTGCACCAGCTGGGCCAAAGGAAGAGGAGAAATACTGAGAAAGGCAGAGAACCGGTCATTTGAGGCCATGATGAACAATCCCACGGATATTGCAAGGATAACTAGATGGATCCAGCAGGAAGGAAGGCTAGAGCAGTTTCGACTGACGCTTGAAGTCGAAGCCATGATGAGTGACAGAGAGGGCAGTAGGGGTGAGGTGATCTCCTGCCATAAATAAGGGAGTGGACGGTATCCACACTGGATAAAACAGTATTAGTGCACTTCGCGAAGGTAACACAAACTTAAAGTGTATATAAATTGAGAAGTTGAGGGGGTTTTTACCATAAAGGTTTCCTCCTATATAAATATTAGAGTTCGTAGACACCTGCATGGGCCATAAGGCGCCAAATCGGGCCAAATGAAATCAAAATCAAAATAATAATAATAATAATAATAATAATAATAATAATAATAATAATAATAATAATAATAATAATAATAATAATAATAATAATAATAATAATAATAATAATAATAATAATAAATAATAATAATAATAATAATAATAATAATAATAATAATAATAATAATAATAATAATAATAATAATAATAATAATAATAATAATAATAATAATAATAATAATAATAATAATAATAATAATAATAATAATAATAATAATAATAATAATAATAATAATAATAATAATAATAATAATAATAATAATAATAATAATAATAATAATAATAATAATAATAATAATAATAATAATAATAATAATAATAATAATAATAATAATAATAATAATAATAATAATAATAATAATAATAATAATAATAATAATAATAATAATAATAATAATAATAATAATAATAATAATAATAACCCGGAATAGCCGGCAAAATTCCCGAAAGAGTGATAAAGCCACTTCGAAGTATCCAAAGAAGGTGCCTCAAGATCGTCACGGGAGCGTACAACTCGACCAGCAGCAAGGTACTTGAGCATGAAACCTCTACCTTGCCGATGGAAATCTATCTAAAACAAAGGAGGGTCCAACACGCCGGACTATCAAAAAGCCTACCTGTTCAAGATACTATATTGTCAGCATGCAGGAAGATAAAGCAACCCCGAGCTGGAAGGCAAGACGCACGAGCTGTTACGAGGACCTTGGATATTGCGGAGTGGGGTCAAACATGTGAGAATATAGAGACGAAAGTGGGACAGAAAGCGGCTGGGAAGGTTGCAGCTTTTAGAGAATGGGAACGATCCTGGACGAGACTAACAGCCAGGCAAACTACTAACCACCACGCCACAGCAGATCCCAAAATCTGGAACGCAGTAAACCTTTTTACAGATGAAAAAACGGGAAAGACAGGAATGAGCCAAAGAGGAACACCTTCTAGTATCCATAAACACCTTAACAGGGCCCAGAGCAGCATAGCTATACAGATAAGAAGCGAACACATTGGGTTCAATTCCTATCTGCACAGAAGAAAAGTTCCGGGAGTAGACAGTTCACGATGCCAATGTGGATATCCGTCCCAAAATGTGAAGCATATGGTCATGGCCTGCACCAGCTGGGCCAAAGGAAGAGGAGAAATACTGAGAAAGGCAGAGAACCGGTCATTTGAGGCCATGATGAACAATCCCACAGATATAGCAAGGATAACTAGATGGATCCAGCAGGAAGGAAGGCTAGAGCAGTTTCGACTGACGCTTGAAGTCGAGGCCAAGATGAGTGAGAGAGAGGTCAGCAAGGAGAATTGGTCTCTTGCCATAAATAAGGGAGTGGACGGTATCCGCACTGGATAAAACAGTATTAGTGCACTTCGTGAAGGTAACACAATACCAAAGTGTAAATAAATTGAAAAGCTGAGGGGGTTTTTACCATAAAGGTTTCCTCCTACATAAATATTAGAGTTCGTAGACACCTGCATGGGCCATA